AAAGTTTAACGTCAGATTAATCAACAAAAATTGAGAACAATGATATCTTTTTAATCTCAATCATATTAGGGCCCAGTGCCCAAGGCAATATACACAGAGTAGTGGGGTTCCAGATTCAGGGCAGTCAGGTCTCCAATCCTTCTACATAAGGTGGAGCCCCTCCCCTGTAGCAAATAGTCTCTGTGGTCGAAGAAAAAAAGGAGAAAATTAGAACTAGCAAAGAAACTGACAAACATCTACCAATATACCCACAGGGTCGCCTACGAGTTCCAAAATTCACTCCAAAAGATATCCATTAACAGAAGTTACGATATAAAAAATATCCTAAACTACAAAATGCTACAACTATTGTAGAACAATAATATCCAATTGAGCACAATATCACTATTAAAAGTCCAAACGTTAAAAAAAAAATAAAAAAAAAAAATAGAAAAAAAAAAAAAATAAAAAAAATCCAAAATTCGAACGCATGCCATAATGCATACAAGCTTGAAGAGCACAGTCTGCACCCGGTGGGGAAAATGGGACCCCGACCAGGTTCAACGACCCACCACGCCGTCTCATCAGGGGGTATTCCTTTTTAATTTGAATTCTCTTTCCGTCATCAGTGGTCATCATCGGGGGGGTGTTCCTTTTTTTTTTTTTTTTTTTGTAATTTTCTTTCCGTCATTAATGGTCTTTCTCAGGGGGTATTCCAGCAAATTCTCCTCGACACTCTTATCCGCCTCCCAACTCTTGGGGCCAAGTCCCACTAGCAGCGTTGAGCTACCTCAACGCCTGAATCTGGACGTGGTTGTGGAGACGTGCAGTTCAGGAAACTCAACACCATTTATGTACATCTCCGCAAAAGCGTCCACATTCAGGCGTTGAGGTAGCTCAACGCTGCTAGTGGGACTTGGCCCCCGTTACCGACTTCCGGCGCTCGTGCAATGCGGCATCAATGTTGATTTTTTAGGGGGAAAATAAAAAATGGCATCAGTCCCTTGGAAAAAGGGGACTGACCCCAAAAAAAAAAGAAAAGAAAAGGGGGACTTTCCCGAAAGAAGGAAAAAAGAAAGAAAAGGGGAACTGTAAAAAAAAAAGTAAAAAGAAAAAGGGGACGAATTTCCCGAAGTTTGACCCCCTGGGGCCAAGTCCCACTGACAGCGTTGAGTTTCCCCGACGCCTGAATCTGGACGTGATTGAGGATATGTGCAGAAATGGCGTAGATTATCCTCAACCGCACATCTCCACAAACACGCCCAGATTCAGGCGTTGAGGAAACTCAACGCTGCCAGTGGGACTTGGCCCCTGGAACGCTGGGAACGCTCGGTATATATATCTATATATTATATTGAAATAAATCGGAAATAAAATTGACCGTCCTGCTGGATGAGCTCGTGGCACGTGCGCGGTGGAGCTTGTAGCACATGACACGTGCAGCTCGTAGCACATGCCACGTAGAGCTAGCACGTGCCACGTGGACGTGGAGCTCGGAGGACGTGCCACGTGGAGGTGTAGCAGCATGTGCGGGCGTAGTGGACGTAGCTAAGTGTGGGCGCGCCCACTGTAGAAATACGGCGCCAAAGTGTAAATTGGGGAAAAAAATAAAACTTCTCGGCCACGTGTAGGTTCTCGATTGATTAATGGCAATCGTCGTTGCGAGTTGATGTGTACTGAAAGCGTTGATGGATCCATTTAACGTCTGTGATTAGTTAATTCAAGTAATTAATTACTTGAATAATTAATAAGTAATAAAATTAGTTACTAACTAGTAATTATTAATGAATGGTTAATTAATATCTAATAAGTAATTGTGCATGCAGCTGCATGCACGTACGCTATTTCTGCATGTACCGATCATTTACGTAGCTACCGGCTTCCCCCGAACATAACCACCCTGGTAATGAATGTATACAAGCTATCTTTTAGGTCTGGTGCAGCCATAATGAGGGGTGCGTTGTGTTCTGGGGAAGAGACTAGCTATCTGTTGGACAGTTGGGTTTTTGTTCCTTTCTTTCTTTCTTTCTTTCTTTCTTTCCACGAGGTGTGGCCCTGGTATTTAAAATCTTTTGTATAATTTTATATGGGACGCTGGGTCCGGTTCCCAGCACGTGTTGCTCCCCACAAATAGGCTGGAGCATTTGTCCCAAAAAAAAAAAAAAAAAAAAAAGAATGACCTACGTTAACCAACAAGCCTACCCCTCTTCACCCGAATAGAACGACTGGTCATTATAGGTGTATGTGGACTGGAAATTGCACCAAGTACAGCTATAATGACCGGGCGAAGAGGGAAGCTCGGTTGGTACAACCATGAACTGTTAAAATACAGACCCAATCTCAAATCCCAATTATCAATCAAGATGAACAGAATAAAATAATTCTGAATCACCTAGGGGCGGTCAGTTCAATGATGATATCTCGACGCCGTCGCCCATTTCCAAAAAAAAATAAAAAATAAAAAAAAGGACCTATATTATGCATAATGATGTGGTGACTACGGGGTTCGCTGCATTACGTCATTTCCAAATGCGGAAACAGACGAACGTAATGAGGAGTGTAATGTATCTTTCCACCTCCTACGTGAAAATGCATTCTCCATTTCTTACTCATTTTTGGTGAGTAGTGCATCCAGGCTCTATGTCTTTCTTCACTCTCAATTGATCTCTCGCCCATGCGATGAATTATTTATTTATTTATTTGTTTATTTATTGCGATGGGCTATTTATAGCAGCATCCGTCCGTGTCCGTACACACCTTAGAACAATGGATGCATTCTCCATTTATATATATATTTATATATATATATATCGTCACAAACAGAACTGCCCGGTAAACCGTAGGCAGAGAGAGAGAAGAGGTCAACAAACGAGGGGCTGTGACAAACTGTTTATATATATATGTTGTCACATGATATCAGAGCGCCAAAGCGAAAAACAGAAAGAAAACAAGGTAAGCAAGAAAAACTGAATTCGTTTTTAATCTTCTTCCTTACAACTCCCCCTGTTCAGAACCTCTTGCGTACAAGACCGCCCACGTGGATGTAGTTTGAGCGGCGGCTGACGATATATATATCATGTGACAATATATATATATATACACTCAATTTGGCTGTTCCCTTCCTCTTTTCTTTGCCTCTTTGCCTTTTGGCTGTGTGCAAGTGGGTCAATATGACACACGGGGGTGGGGGCAGCCGCTGCTCAACCTACATCCACGTGGGCGGCCTTGTACGCAAGAAGTTTTGAACAGGGGGAGTTCAAGGAAGAAGATAAAAAATGATTTCACTTTTCTGTTTTTTTTATAATTTTTTTTGGCTTTTGCGCTCTGATACCCTGTGACAATATATATACACTCTGCCTACAGTTTACCGGGCTGCTCTGTTTGAGGATATATAGGGTTCACCCTCCTGACGAGTAGGCGAAACTCCGCCGAAACAGTTTGTCACAGCCCCTCGTTTGTTGTCCTCTTCTCCCTCCCTCTCTGCCCTACGGTTTACTGGGCAGCTCTGTTTGACGATATATTATATATATATATTCTATTTGACGATATATACAGGGTTGCCGGCCCGAACCCGAACGCCCGAACGTACGGGAACGCGGACCAAAAAAAAAAAAAAAAAAAAAAAA